AAAGCGTGGCGGCGGAGTCCTCATAGCAGTCAGAGATCACCTGCAGTGTACAGAGGTCCCCGAGCTTGATCCTGGCGGTGAAATACTTTGGCTGAAGCTACTCACACGCAACCAGCGGCCACTCTACCTCTGCGTGTTCTATCGCCCTGACTCCTCTGACCAAGCAGCCCTTGAGAAGCTCGATATGGCACTGCGCAGAGCCGCAGGGATGAAGAACGCCCAGTTGATCATCGCCGGTGACTTCAATTTTCCATCATGGGACTGGGAAACCATGACACTGAAACCAAACCCAGCCCACACGACACTTCATCGACAGTTTTGTCGACCTCCTGTATGACACAGGCCTAGATCAGATAGTACAAGAACCAACACGCGGTGAAAACACCCTAGACTTGGTCCTCACAAACTCACCATCTCTTATACCCCGTGTTGAAGTTCATCCCAGGTATCTCGGACCACAGTATTGTGTACTTCGAGTTTAAGACCAAGCCTGATGCAATACAGAACGTCAACCGTCCCATCCTCCTCTACAGGCGCGCCAACTGGGAGGCCATGAAGGAGGACATGGTGTCACTGCAGCAGGACTTCCATGATATGGAAGACTCTCCAACAGAAGCACTGTGGCAGAATTTCAAGACTGCATTGAAGGGCAGCATGGCTGCACACATCCCAACCAAGAAGCCAAGGCGAAAACAATCCCTTCCTTGGATGACCCCAGACATCCATCGGCTCATTAGAAAGCGCAACAGACTTTACAGGAAGATGAAGAAAAGTGGCAATCAAGACATGCAGACTGAAGTCAAGAAACTGAACAGAGAGATCAGAAAGCAGATGCGACGCTGCTACTGGAGATATACTGAAAACCTATTCTCCCCCATGAGTTCAGGAGAAGACACCAGGACATGCCAAAAGAGATTCTGGACTTACGTGAAACATCAGCGTTCCACTACCATTGGCATCCCCGCCCTGAAGTCTAACGGAAAGCTTGTCACTGATCCCAAACAGAAGGCTGAACTCCTGAATAAACAGTTCTACACTGCATTCAGCGAGGGCGCCACATACACAGCATCAGAGTTCAAAGACCGGTGCTCACTACCTGGCTCCCGTGACAACTTTCCCCCCATGGATGACATACAGATTAGCACAGCTGGCATTGAGAAACTCTTGGCAAAGTTAAACCCCGCCAAAGCAGCCGGCCCAGACGGCATTACTCCACGCGTGCTGAAGGAACTGGCTAAAGAACTGTCTCCCATTCTTACCACCATTTACCAGTCATCACTGCGCACAGGTCAAGTACCTCAAGACTGGAAGGAGGCGTTAGTGACACCAGTGTTTAAAAAGGGAGAACACTACAGGGCATCAAACTACCGCCCCATCTCCCTCACCAGCGTTCCCGCTAAAATCCTAGAACATGTCCTAGTTAGTTCCATCATGCACCACTTGGAATCAAACAACATCCTGTCTACACAGCAACATGGCTTTCGCAAACACCGTTCCTGCGAGACCCAACTCCTTGAATTCACAGAAGAGGTCTTTTCATAATTCACAGAAGAGGTCTTTTCAGCAATGGAGAACGGTGTTACGACTGACGTAATCATTATGGATTTCGCGAAAGCGTTCGACCGCGTAAACCATAGTCTACTTGTGCACAAGTTGGATTACTACGGGATTCGCGGCAACACAAACAGGTGGATAGGAAGCTTCCTTAGCGACCGCCGGCAGGCTGTGGTAGTCAGCGGCACCCAGTCAAGCTACGTGAGTGTGCGATCGGGCGTCCCACAGGGCACGGTGATAGGTCCAAGTCTCTTCATTGTGTACATTAACG